GTTGTTTATATCTTGAAATTTTTTTCTTCTTTAACTATGGCAAATGTGTACTGATGGGTCCATTAGTCTAGTTTGCCAGTTGTAGTCTTTCAGGACTTGTGATACATTGTTTTAGGCTGTTCTGGATTCCAAAGTTTCCACTGAGGAATCAGCCATTATTCTTATGTGTTTTCCTTTATATATGACTTGAATATTTAAAATAGACCACATCTTGGGACAGAAAACAAATCTTAATAAATTCAGAAAGATTGAAATAACTTTGTGTATCTTATTGCACCATAATACAATAAAATGAAATTAAGAGCAAACAGATTTCTAGCAAGTACACAAATTCAAGGAGATTAAAATCCATTGCTGAATGATGGATGAGTCAAAGAAGAAATTAAGAAACAAAAACATCTGCCAGTTGGTGGTGGTACACGCCTTTGATCCCAGCACTTGAAAGGCAGAGGCAAGTGGATCTCTGTGAGTTCGAGGCCAGCCTGGGCTACAGAGTGAGTTCCAGAAAAGGTTCCAAAGCTACAAGAGAAATTCTGTCTCAAAGAACCAAATTAAAAAATCTTCTGGAATTAAATGAAAATGAAAATATAAACAACAAAACTCTTGAGAAATGCTAAAAGAGCTCTATAGATTTATAGCTCCAAATGCTCACATTAAAAATAAACACAAATAAAATGCCTTAATGATGTAACTAAAAAAGATTTGAAATAAAGAAACAAACAACAAACAAAAACCCCAAACAAACAGAAAATCCAAAACAAACAAAAAAGAAAAACAAGAACAAAACAAAACAAAACCAAGTAGTTGGCAAGAAATAATAAAAATCAGAGCAGAAATTAATGAGATAGAAGAAAAAAGAAAAATACAAGAGCTGGTTCTTTGAGAAGATGAAGATTGACAGACTATTGACATAATCAATCAAAAGAAATAAAGAGATGATAAATTAACAGAATCAGAATTGATGATGGAAACATTACAAAGGACACCAAAAACATTAAGGATTTTGTAAAGGATTTGAGCATTTACATACTTGAAAATCCATATCCAAGTTAGCTTGTCTTGTACCAAATCCCCATGGACACTAACAAGTGATTGTTATTGTATTTTGTTTAAGTGGAGCAGCTGCTTCTGCTTCAATTCCCATGACCAAATTCTTGAACTCAATACCTCTCATAATTTGTGAGCTATTCTTAAATCACATTTCCTCTCAGTTCACCCTGATTTTGCAAGTTTTCTGGTGATTTTCTTCTGAGAACTTGTGTGGGAGGTCACAGGCTCAGAGTCATAGTTAGCCACTGTGGCTAATCCGAATAAAGCTATAGTGATTAGGTAAAAGAATGGAGACAGGTACATAGGGAGAAATGAAAAATGGAAAATTATGTGGCTCAGAAGAAGTGAAGGTACAGGATGTACAATGACCTGAGATACAGATTATATCTGCAATGGGCACACTCTTTGAACATCATGATAAAACATTTCTCAACTGAAAACACAAATGTCTATGTAATTTTCTCAAATTATATAGTGGTAATGGGAGAAGAATGTTAGAGTTAGCTTTAGAACAAAGAAAAGATAATCCAGTTATGAGGACTGGTTTAGTAAGGCACTCACACCAGCAGTTTCAGCACATGGGCTGCTACCCCTTGGGCCGAATGATCTTTTCACAGAGATTGCCTAAGACTGTATGTAAACAGATATTTACATTATGACTCATAGCAGTAGTAAAACTACAGTTATAAAGTAGCAACAAAGATGATTTTATGGTTGGGGGTCACCACAGTATGAGGAAGTCTATTAAAGGGTCTCAGCATTAGGAAGTTTGAGAACCACTGCCTTAGACTGTGGCCCCTTTTCTCCAACCATTCTACTCTCATAGTACAAAGTAGAGGCTGGAAGGGGGACTCTAGCTAGCCAGCAAATGAGTAGCTCCAGGGAAGGGAAGACAGAACAAGGAAGCTAATTCAGGTTGGAGAATGAAGGTGCTTCATGGGACACAGGACTTTCACTTATTTCTTCGTAATTTAATAGTGAATCTGTCAGGAATTATATATATATAATTCCACATATATATATACACTAGAACTAGATATATTACTAAACTTAGCCTATGAAACTGATATGAAATCATTAAATGGATCAATAGGAGTACTGTCATTGCAAAATGAATACAATTAATATTAAATTGATGAAAACTTTTAACAAGTGTGTTAGAGATCTTAAGAATCCCATCAGGTCAAATAGCACTGTTCTGTCAATCTATCTTCCTGTTCTGACTTTAAGGCTTTATAATTAAATGGACAAGCATATTTATTTTCATTTATCATAAACAGAAAAGACCATAATAAGGACATAAAACTAAATCTTTTCTCAGCATGCCTGCATATGATTCCCATTATATTTATTATGCCTGTGATTACAACTATAAACTAAGTCTCATAATGGTAAATGAATTTTCATAGTTTCTAATTGCAGATCAGAGGTGGCTAGACCACTAATAACATTATAGTTTCTATTATTCAGCAGAAGAATTGTATCATCATGTATCATAATTCATTTGAGTAATTCTGCAACCAATAAATATAATGAGAAGGGAGGAAGACCAATAGAGTTAGAACATTTGGCATAAGGTAGAGAAGATTAAGGCACATCAATTAACATTACTAAATTGTCCGAGCTGGGAAACTGAGGCAAAATGGAGTCTCTCTGATTAATGTCAATTATTTAACACCTATTTCTCCAGCAAGGAAAAGCTCTGTATCAGTAGAAGTCACACCAACCATGATTTCTACAAAAAACTGTGTTCAATACTTCAATAGCTCCATATGAATTTATTAAGTGAAAAAGTGTGAGTGGAAGAACAATATAGCATTAGAGTGCCTAAAGTGTTTGGATTCTCCTGAAACTCTGTTCTATTTGTCTTCATGAGACTCACTTCCAGGAACTAGAAATTGAACCAATTATGGCAAAAACAACCACTCTGATAAAAGGCATTTCCTTCTATGTTCATGTCACCATGGCCTAAAACAAGCAGTGCATTGGCAGTATATGTCAAGAAAATACTTCCTGAAAGTAATATGGCTTTAGATAACTGGATGGTTTATATATCTCTTATTTAGTACTCTGTTAGTTTATTTTCATAACAAGTCTGTGATCCCTTGAATATTTTTCAATCAGATAAAACATGGAACAACTGCAAGCAAGTTGCTCTAATTGTATATTAGTGATGTTGGTACAATCAAAATATTTCTAAAGAAAACCAAAAGATAATATTTAATATTATCATTATTCATTTGGGAATAATGAACTTAGCCTGCATTATTTAAATGATAGAAACAAGTAAGTGTGCAACAAAATGAATTTGCAACCTAGAAAACGGGAGAAAATATTTGTGTACCTTATATCGGAAAGGAAAATAAAATCTTAAATATAAATTGTAAATATTCAAGACAGTTATACATCTGAAGAGGAAAAAGAGGTAAACAAATCTGAGTGAATCTAGAAGTTTCATAGGTAGGGACCCCAGACCCCATCTTCTAACCATTTGAGTCTTGTCCTGATCTTAGATGCCCCTGCAATCAATCATCCCATGCTTACTTTTGGGCTTCTTTGTTAAGAAAACACCTTGATATCACCTTGCTCTGAAGACTGGACATGTAGAACAACAGATCATGTGCTAATATATTTCCTTCCCAGTTACACATGGAGGTATTGCAGAGCCCTAAATAACTCAGACAGTTTAGAAAATATTTTGACAAGAATTAACATGGCAACAAAATTTTCTGTTGATTTGGTACTGTTGAAATGTTTTTGCTTGTGTGCCATTATTCATCATTTATCAAATCCCCACTTGCTGATTAGTTTTAGTTTTTTGTCAAGTTGTCACAAGCTAGAGTCATCTTGGAAGAGGGACTCTCACCTGAGAAAATGCCTTCATCATATTGGCCAAAAGAAAAGCCTTTGGGTGCATTTTCTTGATTAATAGTTGTTGTGGGAGGGACCCCATCCACTATAGGTGGTACTGCCCTGGTAGGGTGTCCTGGAATATTATTTTAATAATAGGCAAAGATGTGTTACATTTGTTTCTGCTGCAGAATATTACTTTAACTGTGTAAAGGTGTGTTACTTTTTTTTATACTGCATTTGTTTAATGATATAAGGATATGTGTTTAATTACGTAAAGATATGCTGCATTTGTTTCACCTTGCCTGCCTAAGGCACCTGATTGATCTAATAAAGAGTTCAACGGCCAATAGTTAGGCAGGAGAAAGGATAGGTGGTGCTAGCAGGCAGAGAGAATATATAGAAAGAGATATCTGGGCTCAAAGGGAATGAAAAACTGAGAGAAGGAGGAGAGAAAGAGGGACATACTTGGGGCAAGAAGCCGGGCAGCTGCTAGCCAGACATGAGAAACAGTGAAAGTAAGATATACAGAAGAAAGAAAAGTAAAAATTGCCAAGGCAAAAGGTAGATAAAGAGAAACAGGTTGATTTGAGTTAGAAGGGTTAGACAGAAATGAGCTTAAGCTAGGTCAAGCATTCACAACTAATAATAAGTCTCTGTGTCATGATTTGGGGCCTGGTTGATGGCCCAAAATAAAAAGCCTGGTACAGTAGGTGGTCTTGGATGGTTTAAGAAAACATACTGAATAGACATGGGCAGAAAGGCAGAAAGTAGCATATTTCCATGGCTTCTGCTTAAGTTCCTGCCTTGACTTATCTCAATAGACTGTGACCTGGATATTTAAGCCAAATAAACCATTTTCTATGCAATCTGCTTTTTGTCAAGGTCTTTAGTCACAGCAACAGAAAACAAAGTAGGGTATCTATTATACATCTAAATGAATACTAACTAGATCCTGAATACAGGATAGAATAAAACATTGCCCCAACTTCTTGATAAATCTGGGCAATTCTAGAGTTTGGGGCCTATGGATTTATTTGTATAAAATAAAAGTCAAAGATCCATGCTGAAGGATTTTTAAAAATGTTATTATGCTGTACCTGTAGGCAGGCTGGGGCACGTCCCTGCGGCTTGTTGACATCCACAGCTACCAGCTGCCAACCACCAGCAGCGTCTTCATGGAACATCTTTAAGACAAAGAGAGAGATGATTCAGAGATGTTGAACATGGAATACTGAGAACTCTAGTACTCTCTGCAGCTTTCTGTGTTTAAATATTACTGAAAATCTGTCTTCTTAAAGACTTATATTTAGATAATGAATCATTTTAGCTATGTTCATTTTAATACTAAAAACAAGTGAATAATAATAACACTCTTATGAACAATAGTAATAGCTTACATTTATCGAGCACTTGTTATATGCCATACAATTTCTGCCTTACACAGATTTTTGAATACATAATCTTTTAGATACTCTTCTATGCAGGAAAAATACTTTAGTATCTTAGCTGGTTATAATCATTATTTTTTAGCTCTGCAACAAAAGTGTAGCTAGAATTCTAAAGCATTATGTTTCATCTATTGAGTATATGTAAAAAGACTTTTAAAAATCTTAATTGATATTTCTCAGTGAATTAATTAAAAACATTCTCATGTCAAATAATAGGAGTTCACCTTCAACATGTGGCATGAGTGTGGTAGTATTTCAATGGTGGTAGACTGAGAGGGTGCTTAACTGACTTTGTGTAATTATTTTAACTAGGTCACAATTAATTTACTCAACAGAAACTTAATGCATATGTTTAGAAATGTACATGTCGTTTATATTGGCTTAGACGACTTAGAAGAGATAAAATTCAAGATGCTATTGGCCAACCTGGGATTCCTTCACTCAGGTGTCTAGGTGATAACCTTATGACACAGTCCACTCCCACTTAGGTTCTCATCTGTCAACATTATATCCAACTGGAAGACACTTCCCACATACCCTGTTCCTCAGTAATAGTAGTAGTAGTAGTAATAGTAGTAGTAGTAGTAGTAGTAGTAGTAGTAGTAGTAGTAGTAGTGTATGTGTGTGTGTGTGTGTGTGTGTGTGTGTGTGTGTGTGTGTGTGTGTTGGTTGGTTTTAATGGGATAAATTTTTTAAATAAAGACGCTAACCATAATAATTCACTATTTTGTTTCTGCCCAAATAAAGTTTCTTTTTTGGACACATAAACATTTTCATTGCTACCATTACTTGTGGCTTTATGTTGACCTGATCCCCTGTTATAAAGGGGAATCATTAATAGAAATCTGAGTGGCATAGCACGTGGATCATTACCTTGGCGCCATAATCATACTTTCAAACACTAGCCAGAGAGATTGCAGTTCATTTTCAGGAAGAAAAGTTTTCTTTGTATCGTGATTGCAACAATGGGAAACAAGTGCCTAACCTCACAGGTCAAATATCTAGATTTTAAGTGAAACGACTGAGGTACATTTACACAAAGATTCTTTGACCAAAGATGTCATCACAAATTGTCAGTCCCAGCTGTCTATTGTAGAACTCACCTTCTCTTTAGAATAAAATAAAATTTAAAAGCATTTTTTGGTGGTAGAACCAACCATATCATTCATGAATGGGCTTATTCTGAGAATATAGACTAGCTGGGAAACAAACCAGTTAAAGTAAACTTTAAAGACCCTCTTCAAGATTCTGGGATTCTCTTTTTAAGGGCAAATGTCAAAACCTATGCTGTCAGTCACCAGCTAAGAACACTCTGCCAATGCCTCCTGTACTGTCTTGTCAAGGCACAAAGCACTCCTGGGGCTAATATTTCCTTTCATTGGTGGCAGACTAATTTTCTATGCTAAATTATTTTTCTCCAGCAGACCAAACTCAAATGAATCAATTTAACTGTCAGCAAAAGTGTTCTCTGAAGGTCATCCCTGTGTTTGAAATAAAGTAACAGAAATGAAAAAGTGTCTCATTTTCTTTGGAACCCAAATCATACAACATTTAAATTGGTTAATATGACTATAGTTCTTTGAGATAGAAAGTAGGCTAGCCAACAGAGACAGGAATCCCAAGGGGCTCAGATCTCTGGGGAGGTTGCTGGGTATGACTGTGGTCATTCTTTGTTTGTCTTCCAAGTCAGGGCATTTTTATGAGGACCAGTTCCTACCCGTTCCTAAAAGTTCATTTTGACCAGGTGACTACATACTAGCTCCCCCCCCCCCCCCCCCCGCCAGGATGTGAGCAGAGCCTTCTCATTTTTCCTGTATTTCTTTTCTGCTGGCTTGAATATAGATGTGAGAGTTACAACTGTAAGAGGTATCGTAGTCTTCTATGCAACCATGAGAAGGGAGACTGTGCTAAATGGAGCAGAAAGGTGATGGTGGTTGGGTGAGGATTGGCTCATTGGCAACCTGAACCATTGAGCCAAACTCAACTGATCTCCTTCAACTTTACCCAGAAAGGACACAAATCTATGTTACCTAAAGACTTATATTCAGCATTTGACCTGTATAGTAGAATATAACATAGGTGGTTTTAGTTAAAATGTTGAGTGGTTCCTATGTTTTAATCATGTGACTTTTGTCTTCTGATTATATCACTAAAGTGTTTATTATGTTTACTATTAAGCACTTAGAAATGTGGATGAGAAAAACATTAACAAATATCCCAAGAGATAGCCATTACTGACATTTTAAACTTTAAAGAATTTAACACATGTGTGCATGCATGCATATGTGCACACAAACACACATGTATACATACATACACACATGCACACATATGCAGACCCCACATGAGATCTTTTTTTGTACTAGTAGGTTGTCCATAGATTTTCATGCCAATAAAGTTCAAATATTATTTTACCACTTTCTATTTATTCCAACTTAGTACATTATCATCAATAACAAAATGCAAGAGTTTCAGAATTTGTTTTGCAGTCGTGAAGATTGAACTCAGGGTTTTTCTCAATGCAGACATTTACTTTACCACCAAGCTACATCTCCATCCCTATCCTTATTTTTTTTTCTATACCTTCCAAAGAATCTTCAAATATAATTCTTTGATTATTGTCCAATAATCTGAGGACAAATTCATAGAACTTGATATGCTTAATCAAATAGTATGCATGTTTTAAAGACTTTGGTAGCTATTGCTTGACTGTTGTGGTGGTTTGAATGAAAATGGTCCCCATAGGCCCATATGAAGAGGCACTATTAGGAGATATGGCCTTGTTGGAGAATGTGTCCCTGGGGAAGGGCTTTTAGATTTCAGTGTCACCTCCTCTTTCTGCTGCCTGCAGATCCAGATGTAGAACTCTCAGCTCCTTCTCCAGAACCATGTCTGTCTGAGGGTCACCATGCTTCCTGACATGATGGCAATGGACTAATCTCTGAACCTGCAAGCCAGCCCCAGTTAAATGTTTTACTTTATAAGAGTTGCTGTGGTCACAGTGTCTCTCCACAGCAGTGGAAACCCTAAGACACTGTCTTCTAGGAAAGATGTTCCAGTTACTATTGAGAACCGCTGGTAGTAAAAGTCCGTGAGAGTATACAGCAGTGAACTAGAGTTCAGAAGGTCAACCTATCAGAACTAAGGTTTCTGTTAGAGGAAATATCTGATAAGGACCTTGCCAGCCAGCAGTAGGTGTTGTCTTCTTATGAACAGGGAATTTCGCATGGAACTAAAACAGAGAGGACACATTGGCAATGGCCTGCAGTAGCTAAAACAAAAGGAGGAAGGATCTCATAGTGAGTGAAAAATGAAGGCTGGGCAACCTGAATGGAGTCTCATGTTATCTACAATCAAACAAGACAATTAAACTGTCCATCTTTGCCATTTTTTAACCTGCAATGTGGAAATAATAATAGTACCCACTTCATAATATTGCTACAGTAATTAAATAAGGCAGGTTGTAGTGTCAGTATACTATGTTCAATGCCACTGTTGATATAATGGAGTGATTGCAAGAAGATGCTATCAATTAGTGGGAGGGACATTATCCATCACAGTATAATGGGCATCCATGAACATGCCCCTCTTAGTACAAGCATTTGGGAAAGCATGAAGATTTCAGTCCTGTGAATTAGCTCAGGCTTGTTCATTTGAAAATGATAGACTTTTGCAATGGGCAGCTTGATTTACAAATTAGTTAAGAATAATCTTGTTGTCTGTGGACAAAATATCATTCCAGCCATCAGGTTATCCATTGAGGTAAGGTAAAAGAAATAATACTAGGAGCAGGGGGAATCTTGAAAAATGAATTAAAATCCCAAATCTAAGATATGTATATACATGTACATACACACATACTGTGGAAAAAAACTATTTTGAAATTGTTCTGCTCCTTTTTTAATTAAGTGTTTAAAAAATAGATTATTTATTAAAATCATGAGCATGGACATCTGGCTCAATTTCATTAACAAATATGTTTGGTCCATGAATGTCAGTACACATGATACCAGTGCTCAAGAAGCTGAAGCAGGATTGCTGTATGATCAAGCCTGCCTGGGCTATGGAGTGAGACCCAATCTCAAAATGAATTAGAAAAAAAATCAACAAAAGAATACATTTAGTGAGTCAGTCTCACAAAGCTTAATTTTCACTCCTTACTTCCCATGGTGAATGCTTCATCCATCCCATGGCTTCTCACTGCAAAGAGCTCAATATTATACCACTCTGGGACAGCCCTTCTCTGAGCTGCATCCATTAACTGCTTCTCACACATCTGAGTAATATCTATTCATGTGGAAATTGCTGGATTTGGGATACTAAGCAATTTTTCCTCAAGTTGAGCATTAGGTTATATGTAGTGTTTCTTTTCTTTTGGGTGAGCCAATTCTTTCCATTTTTTGCTCATGCGTCTTTCATTTACGTCTCTCTGCTTTTCTTGCTGAGTACCGCACATCTTTACAGAAGTTGATTTCGGCATATTCTAAGGATGCTGACAGGAAGGCAAAGAAGAAACAACTCAAAATCACCCCTTTACTTGCATCAACTCTACCTTATCTGTCTTGTAGCTTAGCTAGAGAATAATAATTCAGACAGCGTCTGTCGGCAACAGCGCTCAGTCACAGATGAAAGTCTCAGGAACACTGTTCAATTCAGAAAGCACAGTGCTTATTTGCCAGAACTCTAACAGGATGCCATTGGACCATGGATCCTTTATAAAATTTAGGTATTCATGGTCTGCCTTCTTTGTGTTCTCTCTTGGTACACAGAGAACAAAAGTGGTCAGCACGGCCCTGGGCTTTGATGGGTCCTTAAGCTTTATTCTGGACAAAGTGAAACTAGCTTATCCTTAGCATGAGCCAATCTAGGTGAAGAGACGACAGGTGTCTAACTAAAGTGAGGTGTTCAGTACAAGATGTGAAGGTCTGAATTAAGGAACTGCTGCATATAAAGCTTTCCTAGCTCATATCAGCACATATTAACATCCAGTGTTAGGGTCACACCTCTAAAAATGATGAAATGAGAAATTATATGGTGGACTAACAGAAGGTACATTTTGTAACAGGAATGTGAACCTTTTGTCCTATATACCAGTCCATCTCTGAGTATGTGACAATATTTATCCACACCAAGAACTATGCAGGCAGAGTCACTGGTCCCAGCACAGCTCAGGCAGATCCATGATTAGGAATCTGAAATGATCCCTTTCAGTTTCCTTTCATTTTGCTGTTGCACACCATAGCATGCTATGCACAAAAGCTTTGAAATCTGTATTTCCTTAATTTGCTTCTATGTGGCTACTCAGAGACATTTGGTAGTGACCATTCAAATGAAAAAAAAATATTACTTTGATAGTTTAAAGAAAACTTTTTTATCATGGATTCTACTTTTCCTCTGAAATATCAGTGCCAATACTTAGTGAACTGTCTATGTCCAAAGGTCTACTATATCCTCATCAGATACACATGTGTCTAAGTATATATACATATGTACATTTCTACTGTCATGGTTGTCATTGGAAGTTCACATACTTAGTGACATTGCCAAGTCCAATATTCCCAGTCTTCTTTAACTCTTTGGTGAGAAAAACACATTGAACATAAGTTTCCTACATCATAGATAAAAGAAATGACTTTATGTCCCAAAACCTGTGTGCCATATAGGAATCATCATGATTTTACCACTTTAGAGCCTATTTTGTCAGAATTAGACCCTTGTGATTTAGTGCCTTAAACCAATAAAAGAGAAGTCCAGCCTCTGAGTCTGGTCAGATTTTACAAATCTAACAGTCACAACAAATGTTCTGTCTCCCTTTTGTACACATAAAAAGCATCTGGGACCTCTTAGAAGTGGTGACTGAGAGGTGGGTGGAGCCTGAGGCCAGTTGCTAGGATACCTAAGTGGTATTTTACCAAGAGGCAGCCTGCAGGAGCTTTGGTTGCTTAGCAACCAGGTCCTCAGCCATAGCATTTTTCTTAATGAAGGTTTTTTTCACAGTTCTCTGTGTGATTACCTCTGCTGAACATTCAGGCGCATTGCCTCTTGAATTCCTGACTTATGCCTCCACATTAAGTGCAATTTTGCATCAAAATAATTTTGTATGACTTTGTTCAAAATTTTCACATTTTGTCTTCTGTTATAACTGCTAGCTGGTTTGGTGCTTTACTTTTCCAGCTGTGATTTTTATCTGTCAGAGTTACTTAATAAGCAGAATATGGTTTTAGGGACATTTTAGGCCATCGCCTGTGAGCACTGCACGTAAGAGCTGCATTCACAGTTTTATGTTCCATTTACATCTCAATGTCTGTCACAGAAAACGTGCCTGCCAAGAGGCTGTCACCTCAGGGAAGACCTGAAACTGTTACACTTCATAGTAAGCTAACAGGGACCAGACAAGGAATAAAAGCTTCCTGAGTTGATTCCTTGAAAGTACCATGACATGGCATCTGTGACTTAACCTATGTAGCATATTAATTTCTTTTCAGGAAATTTGAATTATTTTTGTCAAACTCGAATAATAGTGACATAATTTCACTTGTAACAAAGGTTGAGCAATTCTGATATCTAAGGTATCATAAATGTCAGCTTCCTATGTTCAATGACACTTGAACATAGGATTGCTGAAAGTTCAATAAAAAAGTCTTCAATATAAAATGTTCACTTTCCACCAATAGAGCTATATAATTATTTGCAAACAGATTTTTTTCATAATTTAATCTCAAAATAATTGTTAAAATCATTAAATTGTTTCATTATTAATTCTGGATTTTTTCTTTTTCTCTCCTTTTATTCATTCTAGAAGATATGCAAGCCTGCCTTTCCTGTTTCTAAACAACAAAATGTGAAAACAAAAATAAATAAGTAAATAACAGGATATCAGAACACCTGATACATAGTTGAATGCTCTGTTGCTTTTGTGATGTTTCATGTTATCTCTAACATTTTGGGAGCTGGAAACCATACTGAATATATGATGACTTCTCAACAACCACAGTCATGCAGTGGGGACTGAGGAGTCTTCTTTATACTTTTTTGTACCTTGATTAGTTTGTTCTGAATTAAATACATCTACAACACCAACACTTCTAATCCTTCATATAAGGACCACTGTATAGACTTGTGGTTACACTAAAAATGGGAACTTTCCATTGTTATATTTACTCGGTAGGCCTTTAAGGACTTGTGGTCTTGGAATCAAATCAAAGATCTATAATAAACATTGTTGGTAATTTTGGTTTTGTGTTGAAGCCACTCATGGAACTTTTAAGGAACTAGATGACCTTCCTCACACCACAGCAAAGGTCTTGGATGACTATTCTGGTTTTGGACCTCTTCATCTGTATTTTCAAACCACTCTCCCACTGTACCATATTGTAGCATCCCATTCCAGGAGCATTCTCTGAGGCTTTACTGCTTTGAGGATAGGATGTGCCTAAGGCTGAATGGACTATGATCATCTCGTCGGAAAGATACCTGTGTGGTTGCAGTGGAAGTTGTGCTGCTCCGAGTTCCCCACATTTGTTGAAATTGTACTCTGATTTCTGCAAATGTCTCAATTATGACAGCAATAAACACATTCTGAAAGGAAATGACAAACCACATTTACCAAACATTGGAGATGGAGAAGCCTAGTGATCAATAAAACCAAACAAAAACAAAAAACACATGTTAAACATCACAAAATATACACACTGTGAGCACATTTCTTTTCTAGTACCTTAACAAGCCAGGCAAGGAAGAAAATCAGAGTGATGAAGTAGAAGTAGGAACGCCAGCGGGGGAAGCTGTCGATTGCTCTGTACATGAGGAACACCCAGCCTTCCTGAGATGAAGCCTCGTAGACTGTGAATATACTCGTGCCTGTCAAGATAGGACAGCAGATTGAATCGCCATTGGCTTTTGAAATGAGAAAATATTTCTCAGATAATCAATAGTTATCCACACTCATTGTCTCCATAACACAAGCTCTTCTAAAAAGGATTAAAATTATGTGTGGCATTTTGCAGTTCTTAGAATTTTGGTAAAGTTGTGTCTGACTTCAAGCCAGGGTAATTTCAGTATCACCAACAACAGAGCAGCTTTATATTATGTCTTTAGAGGTTTAAGGCATTTGGCACAGGGAAAATAAAATAAACATTGAAACATTGAAAATAGGTAGAGGAACACTACAAAAATTGTGCAGCACAGAGACTCAGTACTTGGGACTTGGCACTTTGAAGGTGCTCCACCTTTAACCAAAATGGAGTAAGTCTGAGAATTTGGTTGAATTTGGAGTCATTTTCTCACTGGGGAACTTAACTACTTCAGGCCCTGGAAATTAACTTGGTAGAACTCACCTCAAGCTTCATGACACTTAGGTGTGGGACTATAAATTGTCCTCTAATGCTTTGCTTTATTAGGAACTAGCATCTCATTGAACACTCTCCTGGTAATGACAATGAAGTTTAAAATATCTGGCTAGCTATAGAACACCCAGTTTAAGAGAACCTGAGATACTGAACGGGAAAAGACATATTTTGTCCTGTCAACACAATGAGATGTTTTACGGAGAGTAAAGCATATTGATATTAAAAGACTTATTCAAGGATTCATAATGATATTTTGGAGAATACGAATTAACACAGTCACTTTGGAAGAAGTTTCTAGATATTTAATTGACAAAACCATTCCTTTAACTCAACGACCTTTGTGTACACATCTCCTGCTGTGGTGAGGTTTAACTGGCAATTTCTGTAAGACCTTGACAATGATATATGATGAGTTCTCAACACATTTCAGTCACCACCATCATATAGAATAGAAACACCCAGTTCAATAATGCATTGTAAGAAAACATAAAATCTGCTATGTACTTAAAGCTATTTATAAAATGTGATGTGTATTGTTCATAACACTGATAGATATATGGCTCCAGTAAGTTCAATCACCATGAAGGACTTAAATTATTATGAAATATAACCAATATCCACCAATGAACATTCTAATCATAAGAAGCAATTCAATGATGATATTTATGTGTCTGAATGACCACACTAAGAAGGCTTGGAAGAGTCTGATGGGCCTCATCATGTCTGTTTTTGGAGGAAGAAGGGTGACCATGAAGGAACACAAAAGCATTCAGAGCCAATGTATCTATTTACATTGTACAAATGGAAATATGATGGAAAATCCCTGAAAATGCAGACAGTGAGAAACAGAGGCATGAAAGAAAAGCAGAGAGAAGGAAAACAGTCTTATTTGGTGAATTTTTACTACAAAATCACTTTATGTAGATTTCTTTTGTGCAGAATGCAACTTGCTTTATGTGGTGCCTCTATTTTTAAGTGCAGTTTTTTAGATTTATGTTTAACATATATAATTGGCTTGCATATTTATGGGGTATGGTACAGTATTTTAATACATACATGTAATATAAAGTGAAAGTAATTAGCATTGACCTTTCTTTTATCTATTTGAGAGAGAAAAATTAACCATTGACTGGGGAGATGGCTCAGCTGATAAGGATGCTAGAGGCAGAAACCTGATGATCTGGGTCCCATTCCTGGAACCAGTGTGGAAAAGTCTGATACAATGGTGGCATCTGTAATACTGGAACTCTTGTTTTGAGGTGGTAGGAAGAGACAGGAGAACTGCCCAGAAGCTCAGGGACCAGTCAACCTTAGTTCATTGACAGAAACAAGAGAGTCCCTGTCTCAAAACAAGGTGGAAGGAGAAAACTGCCTCCCAAGTGTTGTCCTTTGATCTCCACATGTGGATTGTGTTATGTATCGTTATTACATTACACACACACACACACACACACACACACACACACACACACACACACACATACAAACACACTCTTGTTTTCAGCCATAGTTATCAGTATGCCATTGAACATTAGAAGTTACTTCTAGTGGGCTGCACACATCTGTTACTGCCCAACAACCTTTAGAGGTTATTCTATTGTCTACTTCTGTGAGACTGACTTTGTAGCTTCCATGTACAATTAAGAATATGAGGTATACAAGCTTCTATTTTAAGACTTTTATTTTTACTTTGGTAAGTTATTGCCATAATAGTTGGCATTTAGCTAAGGAATTCTCTGTGTTTTTAGGTAGAGATATGGGGAAATAGTGACAAGGTCAAATATTATCAACTATTAACTACCTTTTGGAGAGAAGGAAACTGAAGATTGTTAGTTATCAAATATCTTGAGCTGAAACAGTGATAGGACCAGAATTTGAACTCACTTATCAGGTCACACACCTGAAACTTTTTTTTCTAATGTCATGTTCTATTTTTTTCTTGCTTGAGATTAGACTGGAAGAATAAATTGTTTTCTATTGCTATCTTTATTTGAACAAAGTCTATTCTTTTATGGATGATAATGGATAAGTTTATAATATATCAAAGAACTTGTACAAGATGACTTTCACACACACACACACACACACACACACACACACACACACACACACACACATACAAGGCTGAGACCTGAGCAGCACAGACAAGCAACAAAATGCCAGCAGAAAACAGTAACTACACTGCCGGTGCATGTTCTGAACACGTGTAGCACTTTTACCCATGTAGACTTAATACAAAAGACAATTTTAATACAAACAATTTATATCCCCTTATTTCTTCTGGCTATTGAAGGGAAACAGAAAAATGGCTATGGAAATCCATTATGAGCCACTATTAAAGTGTAACAGCTTCACCTACAGTGCATTTTCCGTTAAAATGGGGATTGTCAATGTAAGATTAACTCCTCAATCTCTCTGCTCAAGTCTATCTGTATTACATCTACAGTGAAGATGCCATTTGGAATTAAGGGAAAAATAGTATTTGCAACATGTAATCTTGATGCTTTCCCTCCACTTTTCCTCATTCAGCAAAGGGAAAAGCTGGAGTCAGTAATAACCCTCAGTGCAGTTCAAAAAGCAGGTGTGTTGATAAAATAGAAAACTGAAAATATCACAAAACGACTGCAGGACCATGGTGACTGCTTAAAGAAATGTTTCCAGCTACATGTAAACTTCACCAGGTCAGATGGCTTTGAGGATGCCACATCAGGTTGTGGGGTCAAAGGCGAGAAAGTGCAACACTTCTCCTTACCCTCCTGCATCTGGCTTTGCAAAACACAGGAAAGAAAAACACTTCTGAAAAGGTTTTCAAAGGGTTGACTAGGATTTAAAGTAGATACAAGTGAAATGCATGGACTCATTTTCCATGGCTAGTACTGGCCCTGGGGCAAGGAGGCTATTCCTGTTCACTGGGGCCTCTGTGTTCTGCTGTCTATCTGTCCCAAGTTGCTTGCCTATGGCTTCTCATCAATCTCCTCTTCAGCTATCCAGGGGACTCAGCCACTTTGCCTCCAAGGAACATAAGGTGACAGTCCCCATAACTCCCAAAGAGACATAAATTCTGTCAGCTCACTACTATGACCACCTTGATCTTAAAATTCATTTGTTTCTGTTCTGGGCACTAAGAAGTACTGAAGAAATATCAATAAGTTAAACAATGATCGTATTGTCTGTGATTGTGTATGTGTGTGTACATTGTATTTGTGTTTACACATATATGCATGCCTATGGAGGCCGGAGGTCAAGCCTGAGGGCTGTTTCCCAGTAGCCATCCTCCTTGATTCTTGTGGTTTTGTTTGTTTATTTATTTATTTTTTTGAGACAGCCCCTCACTGGACCAGGTCTCCTCTGTATGCTAGGCTGGTTGGCCAGTGAGCCCAAGAGATCAGTTTGTCTCTACCTCCCAGGACTACCATGCCTGACTTTTTTCATGGGATCTGGGTATGAAACTCAGGTCCTTGTGCCTATGCCTCATGCACTTTACTGACGGAGCTATCTCCACAGCCTCTTGATCACGTAGATCTTAAGAGATATAAAAACACTTCTCAAATATTTGCTTTCTGAAAGAAAAATCAGTTCTTGCTTAATGTGATTATTTCACAGATAATTTAGAAGCAAATGGAATGATCTTATAGTAAGTGTACTACCTGATCTTCAAATATAATTTAAAATATGTGCATACATACATACATACATAATCTTCAAAGCCCATAATCTTCAAAGCCCATGCTCCACAAAAAGAGGAAACATGGGGAAACATTGATACTTAGAAAGTATTTTATTTAGATATGCTTCATGGTATTTTTGGTCAATTTTCATTATGAAAGTATAATTTCTTGCTAAAACAGCCACATTTTTGTTAAATGAATAATGTTTCTATGATAGTATCTGGGAATATAATGCGTTCTATTGTGGAAATAATAAAGCATGTTCCAAAAACACTCTGGTATTCCAAATCCTTCAGGCACATATTAAGGTTGTATAAGAAACAAAATTACATTAATCACCCTTGGCTGATCATCTCTAATTCCATTCCCTCTCTTTTGATTTCTTCCACCTATGCTTTGAGTTTATCGTAAAAGAACCCAAGTCTCCATGTAGATGGTAAATAGTGACCTTGGAACTTTCTGTAGAGGATCTCTGCATTAGGATTTAGTACAGCATGTTTTTATAGCCTGAATACAGGTATATTTCCATCTGCTTTGATTATCTTTAGGATTGTATGTGTTGCTTTCCTGTCTTAATTATTTATTTTTATGTATTATTTATTCGTGTGTGTGTGTGTGTGTGTGCACGTGTGTTTTGTGTTTGGGTGGTATATGTGTGCACCATTGTACACTCAAACAGAGGCCAGATGAAGATGCCTGGTTTCTTCAGCTATCATCACACTGCCTGATTTTTTGAGACATATGGTCTTTAACTGAATTGGAATCTTGCCTCTTTGACTAGGCTGTCTGGCAAAGGAACTCTGGGGATCCAGTTGTCTCTGACCCACAACACTGGAATCATAGG